CTCTATAATCGATGGTAGAGAGCAGTTGCTGTGAAGAGCCATGGTGCATGCCAAATGATCTTGTCTCATGAAGATTCAATGCTGCTGGAGGAGGGAGATTTGCAAACTTATAAGCTTGCAGGATGGTATATCTCAAGCTAATGTTGTGCAAGATACTTCCGCTGATGAGGACGGAGACAGTGGGATGAAGGCACTTTCTCTGTCTCTTGATGTTCTTGTGAAGCCTTAATGGAGATTCTCAATGCCCTGAAAGGCCAGAGCGTAAAGTCTTCGATGTTGTCAGGCCCAAGGATAGTGGACAACAGTGGTAAGTTGAATAGCCTGTCTGGTTGTCCTGGCAGTTGGTTCTTAGCCATGAAGTCCCATCGAAGCCCTAAGAACACTCTGCCATGTTTCTTCTTCTCAAAGTGCACATGGTTGATGCCCAGCACATGGAGCTCCGAGAGTGCTGCCGTAGTCAAGGCTACGAGGAAGAAGGTCTTAAATGAAATGCGCTCAACTCTTCCCAGCTAACGGTTCATAGTCATGTGAGATGTCTAAGCACGACCGATAAATCCCAAGCTTGAGGCCGGAATTTCTTGGTCTGATTGGCCAACTTGTAGGAGCGCAGAAGAGACTGAAGTTCAGGCACTGTGGAAATTTTGTCAGATAAGTGTCAAGAGTAGACCCCTTGAGATTTCTGGAAGAACATAGATGCTGAAGGTAGTTGGTGATGTATGCCATTTACTTTGCAATAACGTTGGAAGTTCTTCATATATCACAGTACAAGGAGCGATTTGAAGTACAATGTGCCGTAGTGATAGCAGAAGCCACTCTCTTTGAATAACCCTTGGCGATGAAGATCTCTGCAGATGTACCAAACGTGTAGATGGAACGTTTCGCTGTGCACAATGTAGACGATCTGCGTGGGAGTGGATCAGTAGATCATCGCTGTTGGGAAGAGGTACTGGGTTCCTGTCATCAAGGTTTAGCAGGTCAAGGAATCAACTTCTGGTCGGCCAATAAGGCGAAACCAAAAGCAGTATCATCTTCTTGGTCGATTGGAGCTTTTGAAGTACTTGTGGAAGGAGTGCTCATGGTGGGAATGTAAGCGTTTACCTTGTCCCAGGGAATCGCCAGTATGTCGTGATCCCAAGCTAGAAGATCTGGGATTGGTGACACAAATCTAGGTATTTGGTTGTTGAACCTGGTCGCAAACAGGGTTGGTGATTGGAAGGCAGACCGACTGGAAGACCTGAGGGTGAAGTTTCCATTTTGTTGGGGATGGATGGTCTGGTCGTAACAGTGAGTCAGCGATGATGAGGATGTGAGCTGCTCTCACTGTAATGCTCAGAGAGTCAATCAGATGAAAGAACTTAAGAGTCCAGTCTAACAGGTGCGAGGACCCTGTTGACCCTTGATGATAGATAAACCACCCGACCGTGGGGTTGTCCCATCGCACAAGAGGATTGGTTGATCATAGAATCTCGCCAGATTGACCTCATTGATGTGACACGTCTGTTCTACTGGGGACCATAGCCCTGCCACTTGACGATCTTGAAGATAAGCTCCCCATCCGCATAGTGAAGTGTCCATGTAGAAGTGATCAGTGGGAGTGAATGGCATCAAGTAAGTTGTCTTGCTGTGTGCTTCACTGCTCTCTTCGTTAATTTCCAGTATGCAGTAGTACCTGTTGATGTTATAGATCCGGTGCACAGGTACTTCATTCTGTCGAATATATAGTCGAACCTTCACACACACTGAACATACTGATGGAATGACAAGGTAGAACTGGAAGTAATTACCGCTTAGGCGGGATCGCTGTCACGCCATCTCGCTGTCTCTTGCTATAATGCTGGTTCATGCCTCATTGCTCTCTTCATTATTTCGTAGAAAGAGGAGAGGAGATTTCTCAAACATTGACTGGTGAGATCGGCAAACTCGGAGCTGGAGTTGATGATACTGATACAGAAACACACTTGCTTCAAAGCCGTTGCCATGACTTGCACCATTAAGTCAAATCCATGAGTAGTGTATCTCAGGAATGATCTCAATACACAGGTAGGTTCGGCTGCATCGCTCTAGTAGCCTGTGACGAATAGGTGGAGATAAACCGAAACACCAATACTGTTGGGATCGCTGAAGCAGACAGGTTCGCCGAACCTAACATCAAGCTCAAAGGCTGAGACGCAGGGGCCGAGGCAAAGGGGTTCGTTGAACATTGATCGGTGAACGCTCAGGTCGCCGAGGGTAAGTCGTAAACGCTGGAGAGAGGTGCAGCTGTCTGGAGAAATAGGTGATTCATGAGCGTTTGCCAAATCTTGTGAGATCACTGAAGGCTGTCACAGAAGAGATCGCCAAACCCATGAGGATTGCCGATTCTACATTTAAAGCAGAAGGAGGTGAGGTGAGGTGAAATTGGGTTTAACGTCGTGCTTGAGAATACTTCGCTCATATGACGACGTGCATGCGTGTGCATGTGTATGTGCGGCTGCTTGTACTAGCCCAGACTGGTTTTATAGTGCTAGCCCACTGAGATACCATGCCGCAGTGAAGCATGAATACCCCACTCAGACAAATTATACTCTCAGCCGACCAGTCCTTGTTGTACCCATTAATGCCGAGCGCCAGGCAGGGACCAACAAGTACCATATTTTAACGTCTTTTGGTATGACGCGATCGGGGATCGAACCCGCGACCTTCCGCTCTCCGGGCAGACGCTCTTACCACTACACCACGGAAGCGGTCCAGCAGAAGAAGGAGGGTTCGCTGAATCTAGGCTGAAGACAGGCAAAACTTAAAACCAGCATCCAGGGATATCGCCATTTGGGTGATGAACGGTGATCACTTCATGACGAGGGATGGATGAATAGGAGGGAGATGGTGTAGACAATCGCCACACTTTGGTTGGTGATGGTAGTACAGTAGAGGGAGGAATCTAGGCACGGGTTCTGGTTGATGAACATGTCTGAGGGCCAACGTCATAGCCCGTACCTTGGATCCCCGATCCCAGGAGAATAGCTGATATTACGTTGACAGTTGAAGAAGACGGGATCACCAATACCGGGAGGCTTGCTGATCCGACGCTGAAAAACTGAACAGGTATCGCCGATCCTATGAGGGATCGCCTAAGTAGATGAGATCGCCAAATGTCTAAAGATGTCCCAAGGGATTACCGATCCTGGTTGGTTCGCCGATTCCCATGAGATCGCCATCTTAAGATGTCTGGATTGACGCACCACGTGGATTCGCCAAATGGTGAACAACCATCACTCACAATGAAACGTAGTAGCCGCATCTAACACATTCATCGAAAGAGGGTCTGGAATCTGGAATGATCGTTAAACATACATCTACAGCTTGTTCAGCTTGACCTGATCAAGTGAATACTAATGCATTGCGTGACCGTGTCACAACTTGTTGTGTCTATTAGTGTGAAGGGGTGCACCATTGTCAGTTGATTGTCAACATGTCCGAACAGCCGAGAAATCATTGGCAATGTCCTAACTTCCTTTAAAAAAGAAGCTACAGATGGTTTAATGTTTCTGATTCGGGCTTTTACGTGACTACTGGGACAGAAATATTGCAGTTGAACATGAAATAGAAAAAGTGATAATTGAACTGGGTGTAGAGTGTGACAGCGAGAGTGATTCGGATTGTGAAAGTAACTGACGTCTGTACATTGTAAAGTTAGTAAACCAAACTAGATGGCATATGACTGTATAAACAATTCAATTAAAACATGAAATGATTGTTTTTTCAGAAGTGTTGTTTTCCGGGACAAGTTCTGTAACAAATCCATGTATGCATTTTTCGCAACATTAATAACATTTTCTGCCCCCTATTTAATGAAGTTAACTCGACCTGCCGTTTGTGCCATTTGACCTCCCGGGTCATGCATATGCAGAGTAGCTCAGGTCAAGCTGAACAAGCTGTAGGTACACACACATAGAGTGTGCTTGTTTTATATATCACATGTTACTGGTTGTGTTGCTAAACCTTAATTCTTTTGAAGAAGAACTCAGTGTTGATGCAAAAATGAATTCCTTTCAAGGTAATAAAATATCATTATCTTATAATCCTATCGTAACACGTTAGTTGAACATGGGTGAGGAATCTGGGTGATGGTTCAGCCGAAGTCCGGCCAGTAACATCCAAAGGTGGCTGCTACGCGTACGGGGGATTTGCAAAAGTAGATGGTATTGCCAAACTTGTCTGACGTCTGGGGAAAACCAAAAGCATCGCTGATGCAGGAGGGGTCGCCGAATATAGCTTGTTCAGCGAGTGGTGGGTACGGTGTCGCAGTGATCGACGAACCACTGGAGGAAAAAGTCATCTCAAATTCTTTCTACTTTCGATCTCTGCTCTAGCTAAAGTCGAGCCTGATCTACTATAAAATGGCAAAGTTGTTGTCGTCTAACATGGCGCATTGGCTGCACCTGATCTTCCTCTTCAATTCTTCAAATGCAAAGGACCAAAGCATGCTTCAGGATGCATGTAGGTTCGAGCTGGAGAAGGTCTTCTTGCAATCAACCCCAACTGTCTTTCCCTTAACGCAGAATCTTCTTACCCAAGGTGTTAAAGGTTATTTAAGTCTGTTCAATAGCCACAGTTACAGCACGTCAGCACCCTAGTGCGACAAGAAAGACAATACAGGGAAATCACATGGTCAACCAGAGGTAGTGCTGCATGCTTTTAGCATGCCACTGAACCAGGATCGGGAGCAGTGGGGAGTGTTCAGCAGAGGGACTCAAGGAGGCCAGGAACCTTGTTCAACTTTGCTTAAAGTGTTTCCACACTACGGTCGACATAAGAGAGAGAGAGAGAGAGAGAGAGAGAGAGAAAGGACAATAAATGAGAGAGGATAAGTTTAAAAATTAAATGTTTATGTCTGTTATTAAATTTAACTATTATGTAAAAAGTGTGTTTAAGTAGAAATGATATTCGTGTCAATATCATTCAACAGATCTGTTGTTAGATATAACATATGATATGTTGGATCAACATCTGAATCTACTCACTGTTGATATTTTGAGTGCTGACAGATAAAAAGATCGAATCTCCAGGTACTTAAAGATGTTGTAAACCACTTTGATCAGCCTGAACACCCAGAAAATAGATGCAATGATCAGACACACTATGATGAAAAAGTCAAACCTGAAACAAAAGAGAAGAAAACTTAAGCATTAGTTTGTTCAGTACAAAGCCTACAATAGTTTGCTTGAACTGTCAAGATTAAAAAGCATTACTATAAATGCCTTCAAAAACGAAGACGCAGGAACACACACATTATCCTGTTTAATAATATTAGTGTTCGATACATTTGCTTCCGGTTAATACTTAAAGAAAAATGTTTTGCAGGTCTGTATCTTACCTGAATGTTTTATGTGAGGTTAATGTGACTGTTATGAAATTTTTTAAATCAATTTTATACAAGAAAGGTGCATGCAAAACCAGAGACAGTGGAATCACTACCATTTCCTGAATGCCAAAAAACATGTAATAAATCAACAACTAAATTTCAGTAATCATTTGTCAGCTGACTTCACCAATACCATATCCTTATCAAGGTCATCTCATGAAGTATGTATATCACTTCAAGCTCCATAAGAGAGCTTTCCTTACAGAATACCATTACAGTAGCGAGGATCATTGTACATCAATATGAGGCCCATTTGCAAACATAACTTTGGATGGTGTAAGAAGGTCCAGTGATTTAATCTTCTGTAGTTGACATTATTGTTTATATGTAACTAGCAGGATTAGAGAAAGCCTCAGTCATATTATTCAAATGCATCCAGGAGATTTTTCATAAAAAGAATCAGGTATGGTAGACTGGTGCCCCCACCCCAGTTTTGCACATATATTACAAGATGAATTTTCAAACATAAGACTGCCAAAATATTTTAATCCAGCTACAACAGTGTGCAATGTTCCACAGATAAGAGACTGAATTTTAATAATCTTGTTGACACCATCATAATGTATAAAACAAACAAATAAATATTGCATCTCAAACACTTTTTGCCATTAGATATCAACAAGAAGAGAGTAAATCCCTTGCAGATCTGGCTGTATGTCTCACAAATATAAGCTAATAAAAATGTTGGGAGATCCCCAATGGCATTTCATCACTACTTGTTCTATGGACAACTCCGCCGGGAATAGCTGCAACATTGCTGATGCTGCATTAAGCAATATTCACTCACTCTCACTCACTCACTAACTCTATGGACAACAAAGTACATGATGCCAGGCTTGTAAACCATGGATCTGATCTCATGTGCAGATCACAAGTCAAGTTGAATCTTGTGCTTATTGACAGGCTATAGCAGACTTAAGCCAACCAGACACTTGTTCATTAGTAATGTATCTGTTGGAGAGGGTCCTACATATGAATAGTGAGTGAGTGAGTATGGTTTTACGCCGCTTTTAGCAATATTCCAGCAATATCATGGCGGGGGACACCAGAAATGGGCTTCACACATTGTACCCATGTGGGGCATCGAACCGGTGTCTTTGGCATGACGAGCAAACGCTTTAACCACTAGGCTACCCCACCACCCCCTACATATGAATAGACTTTTCCAATAATGCTAAGGTCTGTGGTGGAGATATAATGTTTCAAGGCATCAATGGGACATAATAGTTGGTCAAGATGATCTGTGGTAGGGCTGACAGTAGGTATGGTAAAATGCGTGTGATCTACATGACCAATTCTAACTTGGATCTTCAAGGGTTGCAGGAAGTGATTTGTGCAGATTTTTTGTGGAGAATAAAATATATCTCCCACCAGAGCCAGAGTCAATTTTCATGTAATTTGGACACTGTTGTAGCAGGATAGTTATAAAATCAAAGCATTTTCATAATTTTCATCTTAATAGTCACAGTTTACTGTGACTTGTGAATTCTGAGTTAGATATTCTTTCCAAATGTTGTTATTTTTCTTGTCACTGCCTTTATAATCCTATATGCAATTCCCAGGGTTTGTTGTTACTTAAAACAGTTTAAGAGTTTTCCTTTAAATTTACAACTTTCTAACCAATTTCGTTCATTAGTCTGGAAAGGAAGACAAAGATGGGTCATTTCAAACCAGAAGCCATCTTGGACCTTTGGACTGCATAAGCTAAAATGGACTAGGTACAGTCCTACCTCTGGAAGCACTGGTGGACTGGGTAGATCGTTTCAGGTATCGTCACCTTGTGAGTATGGTTGTATGCGATGTTTGCGAACAAAACATCATAGTTTACGCACTCAATCAGGAATGTTGAGAACACAACCACAAACACAAATTGTCTGAAAAGACAAAATGGGGAAAGAATAATAATTATCTATGATGATTAGACAAAGTATAATTACTGTTAGAAAATGCAATCTGAGAGTAGCTGTGCTCAACAGGAATTCTTTGATATTCATGATACATAAATACGGAGTAAATACGGTCAAAGGTCGGATTCAAGATTCAAAAAAACATGTGATAATCAAAATACATTATACACATCCTTTAGTGTGTGTAGAGCACTACATCTACAATGTTGTCGTCAGATATCTGAGATGTTAGTTGGAGAGATTTCACAAATACTCTGTTCTTACAGCACTGATACACAATGGATACAGCAAGGCTATTTGGAATACCCCACTCTGGGCAAATTCATATTTTTAACCTCTGAGAGGCTTATGTATCGCAGCTGGCATAAGTAACTGGACCTACTGCTATTTTCAAAGCTGTCATGCACCTGGGTGTGGTTTTAAACAATGAACAAACAAAATCAGATAGTGACAAAATAATCTCCTTAAAATATAAATGTTTTCTGAATGTATTTCCCTCGATCCATACCAATAGGCATAGCAGTTCTGTCATCAGCCTGAAAATCAGTAGGTTGGAAAGTTTGTATCCAAGGTGGTAGGGTGGAAATTTGCACATATTCTTGTAATTGTAAGATTGTGGGTTAATTAACATGGCAACAACAAGAAATGTGAAGCGTATAACATTTACACTCGTAAGAGAAAATTAAAAGAGAGATCAGGCAATACACCTGTGAGAAAACAAAACAATCCATAAAATAAGATGTGTTGTTGTCCATATACTGCCAGAAATATACAGAAAAACATGTCTTCAAACTATTCAGTTAAATTAACTTTCAATCTGCAACAGTGATATTATTTACAAATGTCAGAACAAAAATTCACTTTTATGTTCAGGTCTTAACTGTACATGATTAATATATGAGTAAAGGTGAAAATAGACATTTTATATCCGTGACAACACAGTTCTGATCATTCATACTAAAGTCACTTTCAAAGACAGCCTTCAGATTTTACAGAAAAACAAAAAATCAACTTGAAAAATACAGTGAATATGAAAATATCACTAAATAATCATGAGTGAGCTTAGTTTTACACCGCACTCAGCCATATGGTGGCGGTCTGTAAATAATCAAGTCTGGACCAGACAGTCCAGGGATTGACAGCATTCATTAATATTATCGGCTTTCATGTTATATTGTTATCTTTGTACATTAATCCTACTCACAGTAAACATATCAGTGAGTCTATGTTTCAACTTTCAGAAACCCACTCAGTATTCACCTGAAGTAGCATGGAAACACTGTTATAAAACAATACTGGAGCAGTTACACGTAAAAGCTTCATGTTTTCATATCATCCAGCTCCTAAATACCTAACAAAGATTTGATGGTATACACTTTCAGGCTATGACCTTGGGACTGACCCTGATCAAGGCATAAAAACTTCCCAAGACGATGAAGGAAACATGCATGCTATGAAACCCTCAGACGTCTAAGCACAGCATGGCTTCAAAAACAAGTTACACTGTGATGGAGAATAAATTCTACCAAAAGCTTATACCATCCAAATTTAAAATGATATGCAAATGGACTATCATTCTTACACAAGTTGTAGAATTTCTTCCAAAACCATACACAAGAAGCCATGTCGCTGATGATAATGGTAAACCCGATTGAAGAAGTCATCCAAGTTTTCAATGTGATTCCATCGCGCTGAAATAAATGAAAACAAAAAATATCAAAGAATGGAAAATATAGAAGGTTTAGACAGATACATCCATAAATATACTAGCCACATAAAGAAATTGTGCATTGTCAAAATATCATCCCAGTTGATAAGTACCCGGTATGATAACAATGACAAAGGTACATATAAACTTTAATGGAGGGATCATGAGACCATAACAAGTCGGGAGAATTTCAATTGAAAAGTCAATCACAATGACGTCACGAGTCCACAAGCGGGAGAGGGGTCAAACAACCATGTCACAAGCTCAATAACGGGTATGTCCACCATCGGCATTGAGAACAGCAGTGCATCGATGACGCATAGAGCCTATCAAACGTGCAAGGAAGGCTTGTGGGATGTCACGCCAGATTCTCTCAAGTTCTGTTGCAAGGTCAAGGACATTATCTGGCGGATGAGGAAGACGGCGTAGACGTCGATCCATCTCGTCCCAAACATGCTCCATCGGGGAGAGATCCGGTGAATTTGCAGGCCAAGGCAGTAAGTCAACATTGTGGTGTTGCAAGAAATCCATAGCAACCCTTGTCGTATGAGGGCGGGCATTGTCCTGTTGGAATGTTAACCCAGGGCCATGACGTTGCAGAAAAGGAATTGCCACAGGTCGAAGAATCTGATCCCTGTAGCCCACACCAGTTAAGTTGCCCTGAACAATCACCAATGGAGTTCTTTGGCGTGCTGTTATTCCACCCCAAATCATCACAGAACCACCACCAAAGCGATTCCTCTCCAAGACACAGGCCTGTGCACAACGTTCTCCCATGCGTCTATAGGCACGTTGACGTCCATCACTATGGGAAAGTTAAACCTGGACTCATCTGTAAAAACAACATTTCTCCACCAAAACAAGGGTCTGCGGACATGATTTCGGCACCACATTCAGCGAGCTTGTCGATGACGTTGTGTCAGGATAGGCCGTATGGCAGAACGTCGTGGTCTGATCCCGTGATTGTCGAACTGTATTGGGGTGGATACGCCGAAGTCCTGGGATGGTTCGGGCATTCATCACTGCAGTCTGAAACCTGTGGCGAAGATGGGTCACCCTTATCCATATGTCCTGTCTTGGCGTTGTTACACGTGGACGTCCAGAACGTGGCCGATCGATGACTTCATTTGTGTTCTAGTAGCGTCTCACCAGTGCAGAAATGGTGTTCCGGTGGCAGTGGAAATGTGCAGCCACTTATCGTTGAGACATTCCCCCACGGACCATCCCAATGGTCTCATGACGTTGTGCAGACGTGAGCCTTGGCATGCCATGCGTTTCAATAGCCATTTAATTTTTTGAACAATCGCAAGGGCAGGGGTTGATCTTTCCAAAGTGACAGTATTGTGTGGCATTCATTCATCTGTTTCTCTTTCCCGGAATGCACGTGCAACAACGTATTGCACGTCTCAAGGACGAACCCACTGACGTCACGGAACGTGGCACGTGCATGCATGTTGGATACATGTCACTAATCTCTGAGTTTAAATCCTTATGTGTCTACACAGGTTTGATAAATTTAGATTTAAAATTTTTGTATGCACAGTTTCTTTATGTGCCTTGTATACATCAACACTTCCATGAGGATGTGCCTATTTATATGAAAACATTATAAATTATCTTACCTTCATGTAAGTTCATTGGTCAATGACGGTTTAACAAGTTTCTGTGTCACCCTCCCCAGGAGGGTGAGAACTGGCAAAAATATTAACCGCTGCCACGGTAACCGCCAAGCTCTCCGCAGAAAAGCTGAAGCGCTAACAATCATATGACGTCATAATATGACGCATGCTGTACAATATGTTGTATGCTTCTCCCTCGAGTAATACGGTCTGATGTACGCCTCTTTGTAGCTGTGTCATCCCTCGCCTACCGGCTCGGGTGACACTGCTACAAAGAGGCGTACAACTTATATTGTAACATTGTGGTGAGGGGTATGCAGGGTTTTATGCGTCCTATGTCATAAAACCTAACGAGGGATCCATAAAAACCTGTATACCCCGAATCATAATGCTACAACGAAATTATCTTACCGAATGTATAATTCTCTCATCATGTAAACATAACATTAAAACAAACTGAAATTCAATCCTATATTTTACTAACATGGTACTCTCCAGTCAATCTTAACCACTGGGTCACTGACTGCCATGAAGCATGCTTTTTCCATGGGGCGGGGTATAAGTGATCGTGGCGATAGTAATCTCAGGAAAATCTTCAAAGCTAAGAAAATGGAAACCATAGAAAATGATGGTTTTGTAATTGTGGAGCCACCTACAAAGAAGAAACCCGTATCAAAAGATCCCAAATGCAGAAACATTCTGGAACGACATGGAAAAACTTTATATGTGCGGATTACAAAACTGAAAACACTGAATCCGAAATGGGGAAGTGTAAAGATTTGCAAGATCCTCTCGTTTGCAGCCAACGAAAGAATGGTAAGGGAAATCCTTGAGAATTATTTCTTTGACGAAAAATCACAATTGATTTTTAGGAAAAGTGTTGATTTAGACCCCCCGCATTGGCCATGTTGCACCAAAGAAGAAATGGTAAAAATCATTGTTAAAAACCACGCACTGGACCATAGGAAATCGGCGGACATTTATTAAAGCATTCGCTGCCCTGTTTTCCCAGTTGTACAGGAAGCTGTTAAGGTGATGTTTGACATCAATGTAAAATGTGAGGAATTCAACAGTGCAGTGAATATACCCAAAGACACCCGGACGAGGAAGCCAATTCCTGTGACTTATCCCAATCCCCGGTGGCAAATAGATCTTAAGAAGATGTCCACCTACAAAGGGTTCAACTGTGTTTGTAATATTGTGGCTTGCTTTTTAAGCAGTTTGCAGACAAGCTCGTGACAGAAGATGAGTTCTACCCGCGGGATGAACAGGCAGTCTATTTTAGACCATGAACAAGGGCGTCGCTGTTTTTACCAGCGGTTTCTGGAGACCGGGAACTGTCGCCCCATCTAAGAACTCTTACTGTGTCCGAATGTACGAGGTGGCGGACACTCAAACCTCCCATAAGTTCCAGTTGAACATACATCAGATCCGTGATGGACAGATTTAGATGTGTAAGAAATAAATGTTTTTACACCTTATTCACTCTTTTGTCTTTCTTCATGTATTGTTGAATATTTAAAGGAAAGCAAACGTATCAGATTATTAGCATGGTCTAAATTTTCGAAGCTCTCTTAGTTTCTATGATACTGATAGTCGTGAAAACATTAGCAATATCGAAAGACGATCTTAGAGCTAACAGAGCTTCGAAAATCTAGGCCCAGGGGTATCAGTAAGTTGGAAACACATAAATGAAATGCCAATAACCCTATTCTACCGAGCTGAAATGTTCTAATGACGATGAGTAGGAAATCCGCCACAGATTAGGGTAGGTACATCAACTAGCCATGGATTTGGAAATCCGCCACGGATTTGAGGCCTACCATGGATCCGAGTCTTACATATACACTCTCACACAAAAAAAGTGAAAATGTTCTTGTATACTTGCATATACTTTTAAATATTGTTGGGTGTCATGTTCCCTAACCATAGACGGACAGACAGATAGACAGATAAATTCTCTCTTCTTTCGCTAGTATAATGGGATTGAAGGTTATATCTTGCTCAGGCAACTGTTTACTTGGAGGAAAAGCCATAGGTAGCATCACTGTAGTGATCATAGATGAAGTATACACTATTGGGTGAGGATTTGATCAGAGGTCAGAATGCAAAGGATTATTTGAGTCCCTTTGGAACTAAAGTTTCTGAATTTTTGCAAGATGAAACCTCTACACTGTTTGGTGTTGAAAAGAGCTCTGAACTGAAGTTGTTGAATGGGGGATCAACTCCAGCATATGGATAATGATTAACCTTCATAGTTAAGTCATAGAACTTCAACCATCTATGTATCGGTAGATTGCCAATAGATCAGGAGGTACCAAACCAAGGACACCGAGAACAATGGGGAGTCTAACGACAGTGTACTTGGAATGCAAGCGAGGCATTTCAAAGGCAAGGTCCGCATATTTAGCATGCTTTTCCTGAATCTTTCCAATTACATTTCTGTCAAAGGGACAAGATAAAAAAGGACAAGATCAGGTTTGCTGGCAGAAATTCTTCTGAGGCTGTATATGGGCTTATTCCAAAGAAGTTTAAAAGCAGGATTTTCCATCAGGTAGTAGCAGCAGCGAGCCATGCCAACATGTCATTTGAGATATCATGTTTGTGCCAAGGAAGAGCGTCCACTGACAAGGTGATGGACAGTCTCAGGAAATTCATTGCAAAGTCGACATTTCATGTTTATATTGTCTTTAAGAATCACATTTTGGCAATTGCAAGAGGGAAGTGACTGGTCCTGAGCAGCAAAAAGGAAGCCCTCTGTTTCACATTTAAGTCCAGCCGACTTCATCAAGACAAAGGAGTCGGTTTGATTGCTATTCTGTTCCACACACTGCATGTACACATGATGCAGTGTCTTCTGCAAAAGCTTCTCCACAAATGACCGACTCTGGGCAGACTTGGTGAATGACTTCACCTGGTTTACTCCCATTAATCGCCATTAACAAAATCAACTTCGACTTTGAGATTTTGTCCAACAGCCTTGGCAATGGCATGCTTAAAATAGCTGTTGAATTCCTTGCTTTCATCATGAGTCTTGACGTGCATCACCAGAGGATCCTCTGATAAATAAATATGTGCAAAAGTACACAATCAAATTTTATTATGAAGAGCCTCCACATTAATCAAACACTGACCTCCAGAATTGATTGGCATACATAAACGATTAAGAGAGGAACGAGGGTGGTGGCTCTGTTATCAGAAATTATCCTTCTGGTCAGGCGGTCAAAACTGTGGATGTTTTGTTTTGTCCAATCAACAACTCCTAAGGAAAAGGAAAGGACTGGCAGAGTAAAAGTATCGGCGGCTTTGACCTTGTTCCGAGCATTTGGCTCTGAGTTCCAGATTTTCTTTAAACGAATTGTAT